CTGTCTCTACTTCCGTTTCCGCTGCTAGTTGTTGGCTTTAGCTCAGGACTCGGCTCTTTTTCTGCAGTATGTCAACAGCATTATGTTATATACGTTGGTATCCGCTCTCGGCATACACTCATATGTTCCACAGCCGCTTGTGTGTGTGTACTGCACGGCTGGTATTCCATTCGTGTAATTTCCCATGGTATTTTTACGCATCTGAACATTTGAGTGCATCTGTTCGCGCTCAGCCGCCCTCCCCTCACTGCAGCCCTATTCCCTGGCTGTCTCCTCCAGTTGTCGCGACAATTTGCGACTCGCTCAACTCCTTTTCATTCGCCTGCTGGCTATGAAATCAACAACTTGTCTCTCTGGTCCTTCTCTCTCTCTCTCTCTTCTTTCTGCTGGCACTTGTCTGCAGCGCTCGTCTGAAATGTAATAACCTGTAAAGATGCGTGTACACCAGGTCTCAGATCTCCCACGCAAATATGCTGATTGTTTCAGTGTGTATCACTCAGCAGTGTTGCCAGCCTTTGCGGCTGTAAAAAGAAACTTAGCTAGGTTGATGAGCATATAAAGAAGTAAAAACTTATCTTATTTATAAAGTACATTAAATTTTGTTATAGAGTGAACTTAAATCAGGCTAAGGCTATCAAAATGTTGCCAGACCGCTGAATATGTTATTGCTTTTATATCGCAATGTTTACGAAGATTTTTTGCAATTGTTGTATTTATGATGTTGGATTCGAAGGCAACTAACTATACAAGTAATAATAAATGATGATATATATCGATAACTAACTAACGATATGTTTAATTTTTAAGTAATTTCTGTAGCTCCTGTATATGTATATTCAATAAAGATATCATCTTGCCATAACATGTTATCGATAAGATTGTGAGCCTTACCTTTGCCTTTCAGAATCGACTCCTTTCTCAATGTTAACTTATGAAAGCTAAAAATAACAATAACAAAATTTTCACGGTCTTTTTATACTCTCACCCAGATTTGGCTATAAAGAGAAGCGAATTGGCAATACGGTTTATGAGCAGCATTTGCATAAGATGGTTATGTCAGACGACTTTGGGACGATGCGGCAACCTCTGTGACAGCAATCGCTGTAGTATTCGCTGTCTCGGTCGCTTTCTCAATCACAGCCAGAGTCCTGGGCTGTCCCACTTAAAATGTCAATCACTGACTCAGTCGCACAGAAATCCGTTTTCCGCTTGTCATTTGTGATTGGATTGAATGGCTGCGATGTCTGCATGCCCCGGCAGCGTCTACTCGGTTCTGAAATCGTTTAACGCTTGTTGTCTAATAACCAATTAGAACACCTTTTGCAACACATTTCATTTGATAATCTTGAACACGCTTTTCAAGACATCTCCTCCTGCTCACCTGCCCATTTGCCCATCTGCCCACCTACTCACCTAACTTCCAATTAAAAGTGCGAATTGTCAACGTGTGTTGAAAATTGTTGAAGCGCGAAATGCGCTGCATGTTTTTACGCCTGATTAGGCCCGGAGCACGGGCTATGGGGGATTTTTAAACAGTGCTGGCATTTAGTCGACAAATTCCCTGAACCAATGCATATATAAATATAAATATACATATATACATGTACACATTATAAATTTTGTCATTTGTGGCTGCAGTGGCTGCAAAAGTCGATGGCAAACTTTTTAGCAACATTTTCTCATTTTCCAAAATATTTTTTGCCCATTTGTCGATGTCTACAGTTGGTATGGTTTCGTATTTTTTTTTTTTTTTTTTTTTTTGTTGCTTCTTCTGGTTGAACTCTCTCTCTCTCTCTTCTTCTTTTGAATTACTGGCAATGCAATGGCAGGCAAATTTATTGGCAAATTGGGAGCACAGTGCTTTTTCCTTCGCCGCACCGCTCAGTGGGTGGCCGAAAAACCAAAAGGCAAAGCGAAATTGTTGCTCCTCAAGCAAGTAGAACTAATGTATATTTGTGTGTGGGTGTGCGTTGCTGGGGTGTATGGGGATGTGTGTGAAAAGCACTTGAGTGTATTTTTTACAGCTTTGCATACTCTTGCTGCTGCCAAGTATTTGCCTTCTGTTGTAAATCGTGTAATGCTATTGACTTTTGAGCTTAATTTTACATATTAATTCTAATCCGAAATATGTGTGTGTATTTAAGGTGGGTGTAGGAACTGCTGGGTGTAGGAACTGTTGGACAGATAAACTCTATTATTCAATAAAAGCTATCGGACTTTTTGTAGTAATGTAAACTCTTATGTTTGTAAATATGCTTGTGATAAATATTTTAAAAATGATATTAAATAAATTAATTAATACTTTATACCCCAAAAATATTTGTAATGTATTTTTATACTTATACGTTAATCTTAAAAATTAGGTTGTAGGTTGTTTGTACTCTCTAGCAAATTATTTCTTAAGGTCATATTACTAATGCAGTGAGGGTATTCCGCATTTCCACAACTCGTATACTTAGCAAATTTTTTTTCATGTTGTTTATGTTATTTTTATTGATTGAAAATAACTTAGTGGCGCTTTATGTGTGTTTCTCTTGTGTTGTGTGCCGGGCATGCGATGGGAGCACGATATAAACTCGACCAGTTTATGCCAAAGGTATGTAAATAAAGTGAAGATACGGAGTGCCTCACCTGAGGAAAACTGGGAGCTGTAGCTGAAATTGCCAGCTGAGAGGACTGGGGTCTTGGGGCTGAGAGCTGGCATCTGCCCCTGGGCATTGTATGCAGCTTTAATTTATTGAGCGTCTTTCAATAATCTTCAGAGTAATGCGATCTAAATAAAATAAGCCACCAGAGAGCAAGAAAGAAAGTGGGGGACAGAGAGTGGGGCCATAAGTAAGTATTACTTGATGGGCACGCTGAGGAGCGGTTCTTGTACAATTGGTCACCAAGCAGCTCGTAATTAAGTGCGTCGAGCTTGTCCACTCTACATTAATGGGCTGCATTTGAGGGTCGGCTCCAGGCAACAGTGGTCCCATTCAGTGAGCAACAATTGTGCTTGTTGACCCTTCGCCTGGATGGGGAGGGGCCGTGTCAAGTGTAGCGGGGCGTATCTACCTCATTTGTCACTTGGTCGTTTATAAGGCGACATTTTTATTCATTTGTATTTTTTTTATTTATTTATTTTTTTTTTGGTTTGGGGGCATTTGCTGTGCATAACTGGACCATATTAATTAGCTTGATTAAAATGAATATTTGCGCAACTTTTTGTCGCTGTCGCCAGCTGTGGCAAAAGGGAAATGCCATACACAAACACAAACATACGCACAACCACACACACACACATACACACTCTCACACAATAAATAAACACTTCTTGGCTATTGTTCGCAATGTGACAGGCGTTGGCCCAAGGTACTTCATGCTCCATGTACCAATGTTCTGTAATAAACCAAATGTAAGACTTCCCAAACTGCTGAATTTTATTGATGCGGCACACGCGACGTATGCGCAATATGCGGCATAGGAAAACAGCCGGTAAATGGGGGAGAGGTGGGACATTGGGCGGACGTTGGGGCTGTTCGGGAGGGTGCGTCTGGTGCCTGCGACGTGTCGGCCAGATAAATCTTCTTGCCAGCTTCCCAGGCCAAAGCGAGCGAAATGGAGCCATGAAAAATGTCGGGAGCATTCATTCGGGATGGCTGCGGATGCTGCCGTCAACGCCATCGTCGCCTCCAGAGCCGCCAACCTCCAACCTCCGGCTGGCCCTTCCATTGCCAGTTGTCGCTGTTTATTTGGACGATTTCGTTTCATGTGCTCTCTTCTTCTTCTCTGCTCCTGGCCGCTGCTTGTTGTGCTTGCTTTCTTTGGTTTTTACGAGCATAAAGATAAATTCACACGATCCGGCTGCGGGAGTTCAACCTCGACAGCAGGTCGGCCAGGTCAGCACTGTTTCATGCTGTTGGCCTCTGCCCCGCCTCGGTATTTCGTTGATGCGATTTTATTTATTTATTTATAGTAACAAATTGCAATGTCAACTTAATCACCGAACTCTATTAGTTTTGCCTCTTTATTCCTACGGCTGCTGGTTGGACAATCGCGGTGACAGTGTTGCTAAATGTACTGCAATTCCTGAGCCACTGATTCTGTTGATGGCAATCAGCGGGATTTTTAGCTATTTTACTGATGCTGTATCTGTATCTGTATCTGTATCTGTATCTGTATCTGTATCTGTATCTGTATCTGTATCTGTATCTGTATCTGTATCTGTATCTGTATCTGTATCTGTATGTGTATGTGTATGTGTATCTGTATCTGTATCTGTATTCTCTTCGAATATTCTAGCCTTTTTTCAGGCCTTTCCCGCTAAGTTCTTCAGCACTTCCAAGACCGTCAGCTCTGGTTGGCATCTAGCACTGCCTAGTGACGGCTTTTACGCCCATGCTAGGGTTGGCAGGCTTATTTTTCGGCTTTATAGAAAGTCATTTCTCTTTGTTTTCTGTGTTGCTCTGCTGATAGAGGCTGCAGGCTGCTGGCTGCCTGCCTCTATTAGACTAGTCACCCGCTTAGCACCACCCAATAAAACAAGTTAATTAATTAATCATTATTTTTTCGGCAGGGCTGTTCTGCTTTTTGTTTATTGACTTTATGCCGCATATCATCGATAGTGGGAGTGTATGTGTATTAGGTGAAATGGGAATTTGGGAAAGTTCGGGTTCAAGGATTACAATGCTAAAACTGAGTCACTTATGCTAGGTTCTTTGAGCTGGCTACCAAGTAAAACTACCAACTACAGCTACGGCTACAACAGATTTTTATTTATTAATTTCTATGTATTGAGTTCGTTTTTTTTCCTATTTCTATTTTTTTTTTTTTTTTTTTTTTTTTTTTTATTGTGAGACGTGTCCTTTTCTTGCTTAAAATCGGGCTCAAATCTCAATTGCTAGTTAATCATAGATTGTTTTTGGACTAAGCCTAAATATTATAGTATTGCTCATGGGATACTATAGATGGGCACAACCACCACGTAAACGAAAACTTTGTGGCGTTTTTTCTTCTTCTTTTCTTTGGCACTATCAAAACATCTCAATTAAAGAGAAACTTTAACTAGGAAGGAAATAGAATGGAAAGTGAAAGTGGAGTGGAAATGGTCATGGAAATGGAGTTGTCTTACGATTTGTGCAACTAATGCATCAAAATCCTCTACTTAGCCTACGAAGAGCAAAAATTCTATAATGAGCTTAGGTCGAATCACATTATGGGTTTTAGGAAGAGCACAGTCGAGGGAGGGGCTGGGGGAAGAAATTGTGGAACTCGTGACTAGCTACTCGAAGAAGGATTACGCGTATCGTAACTTATCCTAATGCGTATGATTGCTTTAAGCCGATGATTGGTCAGTTGTACACGCGCGCGTTACCCTGGCTGATGGAGGACGGGCTGGGTGGGCGCGTGTTGAAAATAATTGCTTGGTGTTCACATCTAATTGACAAGGATTGGGCGGAAAATGTTGGGTGGGCGTCACAGTGTCGGTGTGTGTCTCTCTGTGTATGTGTGTGTTTATGTTTTGAACTTACAATATTAATCAAGACCATTTGTCGTTGCCACCGCTGGCGTTGGGTGTGCGTCCTCTTGGGAGTCCAGCGAGAGCCGCGACTTGGCCGCCGTCTCCATGGATTTCCAGGTGCCGCCGCTGGTCGCGTGCTGTAGCGATATGCGTGGTATGGACTTACAGCTGCCCGCCAATGTCGAGGCCTCGGAGCCGACGCGATCCTCGGCCTCGGCCAGCGCGCTCAGGCTGCAAGTGGGCGGCAGGATGCGATGTGGAAAACGTGGCGAACCACGCACTCGTTCCCTCAAACTGGGCGCAGTTGGTTGCACTAGCGATGGACGCCGAGTGCTGGGCAGCTGAAAGTTTACCTTGGTCTCGGGCAGCTTGACGTACTTGCCCCCAACGATGGCACTGGGCTCATTGGGCTGCAGATCGAAGCTTTCTCCGCAAATGGTCGGTATGGGCAAGAAATTGGGATCTTTGGCCAAATGATCGAGATGTGTGCCGCTCTTGGTCAGTGAGCCGCGGTGAATGGGCTTCAGATGTGTGCCATTGGTGCCGCCCTCCACAGTCAAGCTGGCGCCTTCCAGGCCCAGAGGGTTCGCATTGCTGTAGATGGCATTGCAGGATGCGGTCTGCGAGGAAGGTATTAGTCGTGTGAAGAGACCCATGTGCGACTTGAAGGCCGCCTTCAGACCCTTCTGATCCGCCAGGCTGGCCGTGGAGCCCTTGTTGCTGCTCGTGGTGCGCGAGAAGATTCCCCGCAAACGATTGATGAGCCCCGTTTTGGCCTCGGTGGCCTGCTGATGGGCTAGCCGTAGATTGATGAGATCCTGAGCCGGCAGACAGGCCTCCTCTAGCTGTGGCTGGGAGGCGAATGTCACCGAGCGTCGCATCGGTATCTGCATGTACTCCGCCGAGGGCCAGCTGGCGCGTGGTATAACTGGTGGCAGCACGGAGAGCAGCAGATTCGGCAGGATGCCCGAGATGCTGGGCGTGCGAGACTTGTTATTTGATGAGGCTAACGGCGCTTGCTGGGAGACGTTGCTCGTCACAGTTAGCTCCGGCTTGAGATGTCCATGGCCGGTCAGAAGTGAGGTGGACGAGGAGGTGGTAGTCGAACCGTTGCCCAGGCCCGACTCCAGCATGCGCTCCAGCTTGCGGATTTCAGCGTCGAGCGCCTGAATCTCCTTCTTGTAGACACGATTCTGGACCTCCACGCGATATTGTAGCTCTCGCCGATCGTCGACGACAAAGCGACGCGTGTTGCACTCCATCTTGAGGCCCATGCTGTGTATCACGGGATCAATGATGTCGTCTGGCAAAGAGAACGTTAGACAAGACACATTCAAGCGACTGTCAAATCGCGCACTTACTGCGTGCCCAAATGTCGTGCAGCTTGGGTATGAAGAGCAGACAGAGCGTTGCTGTTGTCGAGGTTAGGATTAGGGCCGTTATGGTGATAAAGGCGAGTGTAACGCGTTCCGAAATCAAATTGGCCAGCACCACAACAATGGCGCTGGTGATGACAACACTATAGACCGAAACGCCTATGTACTGTGAGTCATTCAAGGCGGCAATCTTCACGTGACGCGTCTCCCAGGCCATGTACACGCCCACCACCAGGAGAAGTCCCTTGTAGGCGTACAGTACACTCAGCCAGGTTTGGGTGTGCTGCGAGCGACAAACCTCGACCTATCGGGGGAAAAATCAAATGGCAGTCGTGTTGGGAGTCGGATTAGATGGACACAGATGGGGGAGTCAATTTACAAAGCTGGCGCTAGTCAATAGACACCAGAGTGGGAACAAGACGTAGGGATGCTAGGGATGAATGTGGAGTAGCTCAACCCACCTGCGGCTGGTAGACAACGCTTCGATCAATGGTGCTGATTTCGAGTGTCAAATTATGCAAATGCCTTTCCATGGGGTCGGCGACGACCCACAGTGTGACGAGCAGGGCATCGACAAGCAACAGGCCGCAGACGAGCAGTATTAGCTGAATGTCCTGCAGCATTTTGTCCTTGAATACGCTGCCGGTGCGTGTGAAGATGCGGTGCACCCGATATGTTTTTGCAAACATTGAGCCAAACGCCAGGGAGAAGCCAGCCGAGAGCAAATACACGCGTGCCTAGAGTGGGTGGATGAGCAGATGAGCATCATATAAAGGTGAAGGCGGTGTGCCTGTATGTGCGTGTGTGTGAGTGCTTGTATTTGAGGGTTTCTGTTGCTGAACAAGTCATCAATGGGCAACGTAACAAGCAACGAACAGCTGGAGGACTCCAAGGAGGCATTCTCAAATTTATGTAAAATAAAGAATATCACAAAAGTTGAGAATTTTCGTGACCATGCCATGTGTTTGCCTGTATCCCCTTCCATCTCCACCCATACTTCGCTTTCTTTCGGCCCCCCTCTTGCCCATACCCCAGGCATTACATGCGCCAACAAACAACAACACAGCGAAACAACATGCCAAACATGCACTGTGAATTTCCCTCGAGTAGCATTTTGAGCGGTAGGTAGGCTGTCGCAAAAAGAAAGCCGAAAAAATGTGGAAAAAGTATACGAAAAAAGAAAAGAATGACAAGCGCATCAAATTGGGCTCCCTGGTCATGGGAGAGCCGCTCATCTAGCGCCAAGTACGTCCCGCTAAAGTTAAAGATTTATTATGTTTGGCTAAAAGATGTGCCTTTTAAATTGCAGCTATTTATAGCGCTCATCTTTGCTGCAATCTGACAATCCAACAATCCTTCTTCAACTCAACAACTTTCATATATAAAGAAACACACAATTCGCAAGGGAGAACATTTTTGGGCTACAAATACCCTGTTAAATACTGTTGAGTTCAGGCATTAATAATGACTTCGCATGCAAGGCAGACATGATTTTTCTTGCTTGCCTAGCTCTACTTTTGCTACATCGGATTTGAGTACTGAAACAATTTATGATCTGGGCTAAACACTCGACGCTCCTCATTCACAGTTAAACAGATTTGAGTATGAAGCTACAGCTCTGCAGGTTATTTGACTGACTTGAGACTGACTTGAGACTAAGTCCATGCCTTGAGCTATTTCATTTTGAAAGAATGCATTTCTATTTATAATTTTTGAGCAAAAACTGGGGGAAGCCAGACTTAAGCGTCAGATATGTTTAGTTGAGATGTTACCTTGTTGTGGACTAGCTTTGAGCGACTCGATTTTGAATTGCCTGAGCTCGAACTGAAAGCAGCTGGTCTTATATACTAAGTAGATAATCCACATTCCTTTACCTTGTTATCTTAGACCCAATATTGAACAAATGAAAGCTTACTCCAATATTGTTAAAATGTTTTAGGAAAACCCTCATTCAGCTTTTCGAAGATGCCTGAGCTATAACTGAAAGCAGTTGGTCTTAAGGAAAATGTATTCTAAGTAGGGACTTTACCTTGTTATCTTGGTTATACCCAATATTAAAAAACTGTCTTAGGAAAACTTTAATATGGCCTCTCAAAGATGTTTCCGCGACCACTGAGAACAGCTGGTCTTAAGGAACTATTGATTAGGGACTTTACCTTGTTATCTTGGTTAGACCCAATATTGATAAGCTGAAAACTTAGATCCAATATTGATAAACTGCCTTAGGAAAACTCTCATACTTTTCTTAAAGTGTCCAACTTGCCGTCTCGCTATGGCCATATGCCATCTAAAATAACTTTCGCAGTTCTTATTTGATTTTGAGCGAGCTTTGTGTGGCGTGTTGACTGTTAGTGCTGCCCGCTGCTGTCTGTTATATCCACACGTTGGGTAGTCAATTTAAATGGACTACTGTGCGATGGGGGGACGCGAAAGTTGAGCGCTGAAACTGAAAGTCATATTTGATGAGGCGCAACCCGTTGCTAACTCCCACACGAAAGCTGTGTATTGTATTGCTTGCATAACCGAAACTCAAACAAAGGCTCACGGGCTGCCTGCCAACACTTGAGTACTCACCGTGCAAACCGTGGCAAAGGAGTCGGCCGCCGAGGGCAGCGTCGAGTGGTCGAGCCCCAACAGAATGACGGTGGCATAAACGAAGATGCAACCCACAGCGGTAATGTTGCTCAGCTTCGGGCTGGAAAGTTTAATTGCCCTGTGTGGAAGAGATGTCAAGTGAAAAGTGCAGAGTAAGCAACCAGCTGGAGTAGTCGCATGAGTTTCTCTCTCTCTCTCTCTCTCGCTCTCTCACTCTCTCTACTTACTTGAGCTTGCGAAAGTGCAGATTGAAGGCGAGAAATGCAATGGCCAGCGCAATGCCCACGCTCGACAGCGTGGCGATGGTATAAAAGGCCAGCGGTGCTATCGTGGCCACGCGCATCTTGAATACCCTCTTCGCAATGGGCACTTGGCCGCTGTGCCACTTGACCGGACGACAGCGCGGGCAGCGAAAGTCGAGGGCATCTGTGGCCGGGTAGTAGAGGGCTATCGGTTCGAGTAGGCCGCGCTGTATCTGGTAAAAGGCCGTGGTGCCGACGCGATCTGGCCCACTGAATGAGACCGGACCCTGTCAACGATAATTAGTGTAACTCAGGCTCCGCTTTGTTGCTGCCTTGCTTACCGAAACGCCCAGGAAGTGGAGTTTGCCGAGTTGCTGTAGGAACTCCCAGGCCATGTCGCTGCGCGTATAATCGAATCCGTCCAGCTTCGATTGGGCCGCATTCTGGCGCCAGTGCGTCTCGGCGGCGCGTAAGGCCAGTGCAATGGCCCACACGGCGTCGTAGGTTTGAGGAGCATAACGGGATATCGCGTCCGGTAAGTGATGGCTGACAGTGCCACGCCTCTGGCGCGACCGCAAATCCGTTTGTGGCGCACGCTTGCGACCGCGAGTGCTACTGCCGCTGCTGCCGCCCACGTCCGCTGCATCCTGCTGATGGAATTGCTCGAATTGTTTGCGCAGCTGCGAGTTGAACATGTGATTGTTCTATGGAAATAAAAAAATTGCAGCGATTAAATGGACCGCTCATCAGCATCAGCCGGCATCCCACTCCCATATCGTAATGTGATTGCCAGCTCATTATGCGCCGCCGATTTCATGGCCGACACTAAAAGGATAATAAAAACATTTTTATCATGGCTCGGCTGTGCCTACGATGCTCGGCAATTCGTTGCCTCTACTCAGCTGCGAATCAAATGTAGCATTTCATTTGAGCTCTGGGAACTGGGGAACTGCTTTGAATTGGGCTGGGCTAATGTTCGTTTTCTCCTTTCTTTCCTCAACGCAAGAGCTAGTCAGAAATAGTTCGTTTATGGTTGAGTTTAAGCAAAGTGCAAACTGTTTTCATATCTAAACGGGATTTCTATTTGGTGTGGCTTAATAGTTTCCTTATCGGGGATGCCTTCATTTGCTTTCTGCTAATTTTGTTTGCTTACCAGCCCGCTATAGCTCACATTGTTGCCCACAATGCTATTGTGCGTGGATACGACAATGAGGTTCTCAACGGCCAGCTGTAGCTCGTGCCTGGTGCAGGGTGTCTGCTGGTCGGTCCACCAGGGTGCGCCCATGCTCTCGTGCAGTATCCAGGCGTAGTCGGCGCCAAACATGCGCAGCCTGTAGGCCTCGCAGAGTATTTGCGGTGCCAGCTCCTGCGAGAAGCTGCCAATGATGATGCGTGTATCCGTCTCCTGCGAGCAAACAGCATATTCTTACCATCAATCACATGTTGTTCGATTGGCCCAGCTTACCCGGAGGAGCAGCAGCTGCTCCTTGAAGTCGGTCGCGGCAAATGTGATTGTCGCCGCACAGGATATGTTGGCCGCCTCCAGTTCGGTGACGAGATTATTGACCGCCAGCGAGTGCACCTCCTCGTTCTGCGAGAACGTTGTCACCGTGCCCCAGCCGAAGCGACGGATGAACGCAATGCGTGCCGGATTATGCGACGAGTCCGGCGCAACAGTGCGATAGAAGTACGGAAATTCCCGCCTGTCGCTCAGCGCCGGCGATGTTGAGCCAAAGGAGACCTGTAATCAGGCACAGTTAGCAGTCAAGCGATGATTACGTGCCACATGCCCGCTCGACGGCGACGGACAAAGTTTTGTGCCACACGCGTGTCTCTGCACCGCAAAGTTTCAGCCCATTTAGTCGCCACACACGCATAAACTGCCGAATTGCTGAACTTCAAAGGCCACGACTCGACATTTGCATGCAACGCGCCTTCGCTCAGCCTATTTATAGAGCTGCTACAACAAGAGCTACACACAACATGCCAGCCATGTCTACACAAATCTTGTCTAATAACACTGCTCAACAGAACTGAGTTATTGCTGGGGAAAATCACACTTACATTTACTAGTATATAAATAAACCATGTGACAACATGCAGAGATTTTAGCTTCTTGTTAAAAATAATTTCAATTCAATTTAGTTTTGCATATTAGAATTTATACTCATTCACAAAAACAAAGTAAAAGATTTTTTTTGAAACCTATTTATTTACTTTTTATTTAAATTATTTTGTCAATAATGAAGCAAAAAACTTGACGTATGGAATAGATCATCATGCGCAACCTCATCTAATAGGGACTCTAGGGACTCTTGAAATCTATACTCGCATTGACAATCCAAGATCAAAAGACTGGGCGTGTCTAGACGGAGAATATCTACCATATTTTTATTGATTTTGTCTGTTAGTATCTCAAAATTAAAATATATATACCAATTGAGGGCGATGTTTGGCAATGTTTTGGACCTGATAAGGTTTGACCGTGAATGAGTATTCTACAGTCAGTAGAGCCCGACGTTTTTACTAATTTCTGTTGGCTACGATTTTTCATATATTTATCAAGCATTTTCAATGATTATGTACAGAGATCCTGTGCATAAATTATAGCTCTCTTTCTCTCTCTCCTCCCTCCCTCCCTCCCTCTCTCTGTCTCTCTCGCTTACTCTGGTCTATTCTGCATAGCAAGGTAGCTTCACAGCTGTCTATATATGCCTAATTTTAAAAACTCTTTACATATACACAATTGTTACTTTTATATGTAAATATGCAGGTATAAAAAAATTATTATATTTCCATATACAATGTGTTCAGCTTATATAAGAAAGATGTTGTTTGTTGCTCAGCTGGATTAAAAGTTCTCCCTTTACAATTCACAAATATGCAAATCATTTCTTTTTGTTTGGCTGTAAATTTGGAGAACCAAAAATTGCGCTCTGTCTAGTGTAATTTGTATAGGAGGCTGTTTATTTGAGCGCTGAAATGTTTATTGGCTGCCTTTTGAGTTTAGCTCGTGGTATTTATGTTAATCGAGCGAGTTTCCTTTCGGCACGTGAGTTGATTAAATTTTTGAATAATAGCCCAAGCATATTTGCATATTTTAATCAGCGGACCACCCCTAACGCCCACCTCGCAAGCGTGATTGACTTGAGCTTACCTGTACGATGTTCCAGTAGGGCACCACCTTGGCCAGGCTCTCGGTTACCTCCGAGCAGGCGGAGCCCAGCAGCATCATCATGCGAGTCGAGGGCTGTGTGTAGATGGCATGAAAGAAACGATCCACACCCACGCCGGGATCACACTGCAGTTCGGAGTTGGAGAACATTAAAAGGTGAGACTGGGGCTAGCACAGAGGCTGTGGCGCAACAGCAGCAGCAGCAGCAGCAGCAGTCATAAAAAGGCGCGCGTCAGGATGGCGCAATAAACATTTTTAAAATGTCGACTTTTGAGTTTTGATAGGAGATGCCGCCAGCAGATATGAGGCGATTTCAAAGGCTTCAAGGCAGCTTCAGTGCGTCTCCAAGTGCCATCAAATCGCTGCCCCAACCATTTGAGTCAACCAACGCGCTTATCGCTGCCGCTGCTGCTGCTCRCAATAAAAAACATGTAAAAAATTTGTATTGCATACAAAGTGTGACTGACTGCGCGATACACTGTTCGATGTATGGAAAGCAGCTGAGCGGTTTTGCAAGTTTGATGATTAACTAACTCTATTTAAATGAGATTTTGACACTGTCGTCATATATTGATAATTCTAGTTGGGATATACAAGAAAGCAGTTACACATGGTGCATAGAGCAACATATATATGTATGTATATATATACTTAGATATATTGAATATATAATCACATGTACATATAAGTCTACACTTAGAGAATGCTTAGTAAATTCTGTTCCTAGTCTTAAACTGTTATTAAGAAAACGGGTATAAATCAGAAGGTGGAGCAGACTTTTGTCTTAGGGCAGACTTAAGATAACTACAAACGGGAAAAAGTAGCTTTCAAACTGCAAATGAGGCTGAGGTTACACTTAAGCATATTTATACTGGTAATCTGGTAATTAGGGCGAATCAGAATTACTTTAAATTCCAAGAGCAAATTTAAATTCGTGGAAAAGACTATTAGTCAAGGCTTGAATCTCAGACTTTCCTTAGAAAACATTTATTTTGCAATAAAAAAATACCTTGAATCATCCCATACCCATATCTATATATAGCTTCAGTGACTTCATTTACCTTCATATAATAGCTCCGTTTATAAGTTCATTTTCTCTATCATTTGCTCTCATTTAATAACTCTGCAAAGACTCTTAAGCTGTTTTGGGCCATCTATCTCGTTTGACTTTCTCTTCCCTTAGTGACTCAGCCAATCCACCCGTTAGATTTTCAAGAACAGAGTATACTTAAAAAAGAGCCTCCTTGATGACAAATTTCTACTCAACCTGCGGCCGCTGCAGCGTTTGCAGATTTTTCTTATTAAGTTTTAATGCAGCACGCGCTACTAAATGAAATTTCAATTTCGTAATGGAAAAATACCCGCCCACCTGCCGCGCCGTGTGGAGTACTCACCTGTGTATCGTTGGTCACCAGCTCGAGTGTATAGCCCGGCAGCAGCTGTTTGCGGTTGATATGCTCGACGGCCATTGTGGCCGCGCCCAATTCGCTTAGGCCGTCCGGCCGTGGACCGCGCTTGGTGGAGAGCTCAAAAAGTCCGAGCAGCACAATTTTGCCATGATTGCGCTGGATTTCCGCATGGGACATGCGACGTTCGCTCTCGAACACCTGGTTAACCTTCAAATAGCGCTGCTGCTGCCAACTGCTCAGATTCGCGCCCATGCCGGCATTGGCCGTAATGGTTGGTAAATTACTCTGCGAATTGAGACGATGTCGTCGCTTGACTTTCCGCCGTTTGCTCCGCCACCTGTCAGCGAGCGTGGGGGCATAGCTTTCAATGGCCACACCTGGCAGCGTTTCCAGTGACTGCACCGACGGCACCGACGGCACTGGCTGCAACGTGCGTAAGACCTGCAGCTCTGCTGACGATTCCATGCCGGCGGCATCTCTGCTGCAGCCGGCCAGCGCCAGGGCCAGCAGCATGGCCAGCATCAGTAGCCGATGGCTCGTTGGGCTGCCGTGAATTATGCGCATCCCGTTTGGCAAAATGGCCATTGGCCCATTAATCAGCACGGCATTTGAATTCGCTATCTCGCACGGATGTACGTGGCAATAAACAATGCTTGTCCAGGCTCCGTTTATATATATATCAATATATATATTTGTGTGTGTGTGTGTCCGTTTATCTATTGCTGTTTTATTCCGCTGCCTGCTCTGGTGCTGGTTGGTGTTTGGCGTCAATTTTATCGCCTTTTTATTGGCCTCACTTTTGGTCTCGTTCCGTTCGCCTGGACATTTGCCTGGCTGCCATTATCTGTTCTCGCACTGGACACACACTGTAAAGCAAAATAGCTCATAAAAATATGCGCTGCTGCCCGCCTCGTTCCCTCTCCCTGCCCATTTTTGTCACTCCACACAATGAACCGACTTGCAAATGAACAAAACTGGAGAAAAGGAAAACGAAAAACAAAATACAATCGAAACAATAAACGCCAGCAGCCAATTGCCAGTTTGGGGCCAGTTGGCAGTTGAGAAAGGATTAAGTCTTCGATGAAATGAAAATAGCCGTACGCCACATATACCGCACACACTATACACAAACACACATAGATATAGCAGCTAACACACACACATGTGGATATCAAGGCTATCTCGTCAAATGCCAAAGCCATAGACTTTTGTTGAGATTGCTACGTTGCCTTTGTTGCTGCTGCCATTTATGCCCTTCTGAATGGGCACTGCAACTGTGTCATGAAAGATGCTAAACATACAAACCTCATAATTAGATATGGGCTAGGCACAGAGGAGACTCTTGAATGTTGTAAATTAATTAATTAAAATATAATATAAAATATAATAGCATATAGCATATAGCATATAGCATATAGCATATAGCATATAGCATATAGCATATAGCATATAGCATATAGCATATAGCATATAGCATATAGCATATAGCATATAGCATATAGCATATAGCATATAGCATATAGCATATAGCATATAGCATATAGCATATAGCATATAGCATAGAGCATATATCATATAGCATATAGCATATAGCATTAATAATTGTTATCGATATTTATTAAGATTAGATTAAATAATGTTTATCTGAGCACATCTATAACACATATTGTTTGCTATTAAATAGATCCACCCTTCTTCAACACCTCTGCAAATGAAAGTAATTGTTATGCTATATCGGTTGAACCTTTTAAGCATTCTGCCTTATCAACTATTTAACATTTGTTTTCTGCATAAAATGATAGGCCATTAAGCATAGAAGTCTGAGCTCCTGCTTTGTGTGGTTTGTGGTGCGTCGTCCTTTGAGAGTTGTTTCCTTTGCTGCACAGACACAGATTGTTTGTAGCATTCCCGGGAATGCGTAATGCTTGTGGATGCGAACTCCAGCAGGGAGTGGCACAATCATTTATCCCCCTTTATTTTTATTGTTTCACAAGTGCTGCATAGTTAATTAACTTAAACTGATTCGGTTGAAGCGCAGTGAATGCAGATTGTTTCTGAGGTAGTTTGGCAGTTAAACTATAGTCTGGCAATATGGTTGCCGTTCAATATAGAGTTTTAATCGAACTTAATTTCCACCGAAACATGTTGTTAGCAAAAGTTTAAACTAACAAAGAGCGAAGTTTTTTCTTAACATTTNGCATATAGCATATAGCATATAGCATATAGCATATAGCATATAGCATATAGCATATAGCATATAGCATATAGCATATAGCATATAGCATATAGCATATAGCATATAGCATATAGCATAGAGCATATATCATATAGCATATAGCATATAGCATTAATAATTGTTATCGATATTTATTAAGATTAGATTAAATAATGTTTATCTGAGCACATCTATAACACATATTGTTTGCTATTAAATAGATCCACCCTTCTTCAACACCTCTGCAAATGAAAGTAATTGTTATGCTATATCGGTTGAACCTTTTAAGCATTCTGCCTTATCAACTATTTAACATTTGTTTTCTGCATAAAATGATAGGCCATTAAGCATAGAAGTCTGAGCTCCTGCTTTGTGTGGTTTGTGGTGCGTCGTCCTTTGAGAGTTGTTTCCTTTGCTGCACAGACACAGATTGTTTGTAGCATTCCCGGGAATGCGTAATGCTTGTGGATGCGAACTCCAGCAGGGAGTGGCACAATCATTTATCCCCCTTTATTTTTATTGTTTCACAAGTGCTGCATAGTTAATTAACTTAAACTGATTCGGTTGAAGCGCAGTGAATGCAGATTGTTTCTGAGGTAGTTTGGCAGTTAAACTATAGTCTGGCAATATGGTTGCCGTTCAATATAGAGTTTTAATCGAACTTAATTTCCACCGAAACATGTTGTTAGCAAAAGTTTAAACTAACAAAGAGCGAAGTTTTTTCTTAACATTTAGAAACTTTTTTCAATTAAATGTAATTAGTTTGCTTTCTTTCTTCTGTTCCTCTTGGGACACTGCCTAATGACATTTTAAGATTCTTTCTTCTTTTATCTTAATAGAAGGGTAATTTTAATAGTTACATTTATTTTGTGTGATAAATCGTTTAGTATCTAATTAAGAATTAAACTAAGAAAATGGGGTTTAGTTGAAATTTGTAGAACTTGCCGCTTATATAAAGAATGGTTCTTTGTTGTAAAAACAGAAACAAGTTTACTCAAAGATGGGAGGGAATGAAAGAAAGAAAGCTGAATAAACAGAGGGCTTGAGTAAATTTTATCCTGATTTTACTGAAGTAGGGTTGCTGAGAAGTTTTTTTTTAACTTAACGTTTACCTATGTTTTACACCCAGTCAAGGCCTTAAGCTAACCATTAAACTCGCTCCACAATTTTCTCACTGTTTCTCTCATTAGGGACTCCCCACAATCGTTTCTATCCGTAAGATCTAATTGCTAAGCATTTCTATAACTATTTTAAAGGCAATTACCATCTCTGGCTAGTGTATTTAATTTTCGGCTATTTTGCTTTGTATCAATTTTTTCTGTCGGTTGTCGATGCTGGGCATTGCCAACTGGCAGTTGCCAGTTTGCCAGTTCGCCAGTTGCCCATTGCCATTATTTTTTATGCTAATGGCAAAGCATTTTGCGCTTTCATTTCGAGGCTTTTGGGCTACTTTTGAGCATCACGCGCCACAGATTTCAGTGTATGCACGTATGCATAATTGTTTCGAGATTACTAAAGCACACACACACATATACACACACACACACATATATACTCATTTACACACACTCGTCGTCGTCGTCTTGCGCTGCGTTTCGTTTCGCTTAGTTTTTCAAGCAAAAGTGAAACGCGCACTTTTCGCCGTGTCCTTAAAATAACTTTTTGGCCCATTTTGTTTCTTGGCTTTTGTTTTCGTTGGGTTCGTTAGGTTCGTTCGCATTGCATGTTGAGTTTCTCCATTTGCGAGGCAGCCCAGTGGCGGTGGGAAAGGGGGCAATGGAAGCCTCTGACAGGACTTTAATACGCATGCAGCCGAATCTCGTTAAAGTTGGCGCAACTTGACATTTGCCCCACTGTGCCAGCCAGTCAACCGCCTAACCACCACCCGTCTGGTGGTGCATGTCAGCGGGCTACTTGTAGTTACATTTCATACATTTCACATTTTTATTTTATGCTTTCTGCTCTTTCTATTATTCTGCCATATTTCACAATTGTTGCCGTGGTATTTAAACCTGCACTTATTTATGGCCATGCATGCGTGTGAGTAAACCGTACATACACACATGCACACACACAGACGTACGCCCACACACCCGCTTGCCTCTGGCTGTTGTTGTTGTTGTGCTTGACATAAATTATGCAAAATGCTGCCTGCATTTGTAATTGTGATTACATTTTTTTTTTTAGCTTCACTGACGTGAGCGTAGGTGTGTGTGTGAGTGAGTATGCATGTGTGCGAGTATGCGTGTCGCTTGCGCAGTTCGTTGGCATTCCTTGCAGCGAAGCACGAAGCCAGCTGCTCGGGATTGAGCTGCCCAAGTGCATTCTTATGCACTTGAATCTGTTGAATAGTTGATGCGATTTGTTATGCACGTTTTTTGTTTCCTTTGCTAAGACTTGGCCAAACACACACAGTACACACACAGAGCACACACACACACGAGCACATGCACACATTTATTATTTCAGCTAGGCCAATAGCAGCACGACTAGCATAGCACAAAAAACGGATTTGCACTGGGATAAGCACAGAATAAAATAATGCCTTGAATAAACAGCAAATATATAATATAGGTCCATATCTATATAGCTGTATATTAAATCAGATTGTTTTTGAGATTTTCAAGTGACTTCATGTCGTGTTGTGGCAGTTCTTTGCCTTGGTATCATGTTTAGTTTCAAGTAGTTCTGCGCACTTGAGCACAGAAAGATACGTTTAAGTTTTTTCTGCTGTTTCGACTTTCTATTCGGGCTTTCAAATTGAAGTGAATGCCAGTTATTAATAAGAATATAAAAAATAATTAATTACTCAGAAGATTTTTTAAAGTAGTTTCAGAGCAGATATTAATCTTTAGCATAGATAAATTATCTGGAATAAGTTGTAAAATTTATGGCATCTATGATATTTCAGAGATATCTAAATTTAAAAAATAGGCTATTTGACTTGATTATCTTTTTGAGAATGTTCAAAAGAGAAATGAAGAGAGAGAGAGAGAGAGCTGAGGGTCAACAAGGGAGATTGAAATCCAATTTTACAGTAACTTAGAATTCACGCGTGTGATACAATTCTAATAGCATTTAATACAATGAGAATTTAT